ACGAAGTCGATAAAAAGGAGAGGACGATGTTCGATGGGACCAAAGTTCGCCTGTTGATCAAACACTATCTTTGTCGGAATTCGGCCAAGAAGACGTGCTGTCGATTTGGAGCGTCACCGAGATTTTCGTTCCCGTTCCCACTCGCACACTCCGGTTGTTATTATTGGAATGGTCCACCTCCTCGTGTTGAGAGGGCTGCCAAACTTACCTAACACTCGACGAGGTAATTAGAACTTCCTCTCTCTTTCTCGCATGGTCTCGCTACTGATGGCCTTGCCGCAGCCGGCACAAGAACAGCCGAGATACTGTTAAAAATACGACGAACACAGGATCCACCGATGTGTATTTTCTTTCTGCGTTCATGCGGAGTTTCGTGATAGACAGTTCGATTAAAAAATTGATGATTCACCAGTAAGAACGGTGTTAGGGAACGGATAGAATCCATGGCAGTTTATTTTGTATACCGTACTTGCTTTTCTTTGCTACCTGGAAACGCGTGTAACGCAGATCCGATGAAAGAAGACGACTAATTAGCAGTGGGAATTAAATTTGAGAACGATCGACACTTGGCGTTACAAGACCATATGAAAAAGTGTAATTCATACTGTAGTTGGATTTATTTTGTTATTTTATTAGAGTGTAAGCGATGACGCGGGAAAATAATTAACGACTTTAAATAAATGAAACATGATGTATTTTCTTATTGGTTTATCTTTCACCTCGATTACGGGTTTGGTAATTGTTGTCTGCATTGGTAGTAAGTATAATGTTTAAACTTAAATGGAATCTTATTTGTAAGGATCAGGTTATCAATCATGAAAATTAGGATTTGGGCATTTTTGTAGAAATATCTTATTGTACAAAGTGAGGAATTCCATCCTCGAAGATGTTGTTTATACATCTTTATATTACAATGATAGTAAATCTCTTTTCTTAGCTTTAGAAAATGTAAACATTTCTTTGCATTGAGAAATCGTGTTTTCGTATGATCACCACATGAAGCAATCTATACATTTCACTCAAAACAAAACAAATGGCTCCTACCGAATGCTATTATTCTCATTTGCCAAAATTTTGGACTTACTCCACCTATTCATTTAGAAACTCAACTGCGAGCATGTGTAATTGTTACCACTGTAAACGTCAATTACTACAAAATCCAACTATAAAGAGAGAATAATTGCTTTTAGTTCTCACTATAAACGAAAAAGTTGTCGTCGATACTTTCTAAAATCACTGACGCTTTTACGTGCCATATACAGAAACAAAATTTGCATTTGAATTTCAATTCTATCTCTAAAATCACAATATTAATCAAATATTTTACATTGAATTATATGATACCGAATCTGAAAGAATTAATACTATATTTGTCTTTCAAGAGATAAGCAATTTTTATCTCTCAACGAGTGATCGTATTTCTGTTTCTAGTGAATCGAACAAAAGCTCAGCCAATAGCCTCGTCGAATCGGACTGAGAACAAGGATGTTCGCGCCAGCACGTTACCACGAAGGCGAGGGGATGTCAGTCCGGTCGTCTCGACGCCGCAGAATAGCCCCAATCGTCAAAGTCCACGTACATCGACGCCCAGCGTCGACAGCGCTGTCGGCTCGGCGGAAGGCTTGGGCGTACCGCAGACCGGAAATCACGAAGAAATTCGACCGAGGAGCGATGGTTCCGACAGTCTGGCTACCTCCAGTGCCCTCACCAGCCCGGAACCACCGGTGCCCGAGATTCACGAACCGAGAGTCGATCTCGTGCAACCGGACGCACTTCCGATTGAAATCGTTACATCCGAGCCCGTCTTTCCGCTCGTCGAAAACTCGGCGATCGAAGAAACCGTGCAGAAAGGTGAGCTTTGATACAATTATTACTTCTAACCCCTTGCCTTTATTTAGACTCAAATGTAACTTTGTGGATACAATGATAATAAAGAAACTGAAGTATCACGTGTCCAATTGAAATTATTTATGAAAATAATTTGGCAGATTTGTAAAATAATTCGTAAAATCAAGTCTTGTTATTTATACTCAAGAGGTTAATTAGTACTAGTAATTAATTAATAATTTCCAGTTTTATTTTGTTCCTTTTCGAACACAATTTATACGATATGAAAAATATTCATTTTTTATTTAGCACTAACCAAGCTAGTTGAAAGCTAAGAAAAATTAATTGAAGACAAGTTAATTGAAAGCTAAGAAAAATTGTATGGTACTATATTGCGACAGACTCGAAATTTCATTTATATTCCAATTATTATTATATTGGAAAATGAAGTTTGTCAAATCTGTTCTTCTATAATTGGAATTAACTGGTATCTTTCACTTTTCGAAGTTGTTAACTATAAAATTTGTTACCAGTAGATTGTACTCAAGCATAGACTTTATATTTCTCAAGTGTGGTAAATAAGATAGCAAAGTGTAATAAAGTTAAGACATATTTGGATCGAATGATATTGATGCAAGTTTCCACACGAAAGCCTGGGTAGACTTTCGACTGCAAAGTGCTAATTGATCGCTTTCTATCTTTACAAGAATTTGTGACAGGAGATAACAAGCTGGTAAAACCACTGTTACCTGTGTCCATTTATGTCACTTTTCAATTTTCTTTTTCACTTCGAAATTCTTTCGACGTCACTGGTACACTGTATATACCAATGGATTATAAGATATCATGTTTTAAAAATATAATGCTTTCCTCGACGTAGAAAATTAATATCAAGTCTAAGAGTACAATAAGTAGAATTTCCTGAGATAATCCAAGGTATCCGTGTTGCCTAGTAAGCGATGTGTTTGATAAGAACAAATTGTAACTTTCTTTCCGATTGAAACGTCATCTCTTGCCTGTAAATCCGTGATTAGTTCGCTTACCAGGTATCTCCGGCTTTAAACACCCAAAGTGTCTTCTGCCCGTGTCACTAGCCAGCCTGAGATGTCGAGATCCAATCGTTAGGGATTAAGAAGGATTAGTCCAAATCTCTTCCTCAATCGTTGACAGTCAACACTGGAAAGTCCTACTGTTTGACAATCGAAGCGTTTTACAAAGTCACTAGTTTTGTCTTGTTAAGAACATAAGGAATGCCACAAAAATATAGGTTTTCTACAAGAAGAAACATTCATTAAAATATTAAGTTTTTACTAACCCATTGACTGTTGTCTAGACAGTATTTCTATAGTTTCCTATGGAACTAATACTCCGCAATTAAGTGATTGCATGAATTAGGAACTATTGATTTATTTATGAATACATTATATGGTCGACTTGGGATATATTAAATGTAGCTTCAAGGCAACAACTTATTATTCGACCGGTTTCGTCAGTAGAAATTGGCAACAAAGTATTACTAATTCTGACATCCTCGTGGCTTATAATTTTAATTTAATGACTTTATTCGTGCCAGATTCACACCTTGTTTCGTGTGTCACACTTTTCATCTCGATACTCTTGACGTTCATTCCCCGAACCATATCCGATCCGTAATGTATCAGGTTTAATAATAAATAAATTTTATTTCTCTTCTTATATTTGTTTTTGTAGATAATTGTTGATAATTAACTTTCCTCTGTTATTTTTATCAACTTCATTATTTCTATCTGTGTTTAACACCTTTTATAATCATTATTTTTTTAAATCATTGCACTGTTGCCATTTGTACGCAAGTAAAGTGGCAATAAAGTTTACTTGCAATTTATCTGTTAAGACCAATAGCAGTATAGATATATTTCCATTCAAAAATATTTCATTATTAATATTCAGATATTTATACAATTCTCAGTTTCCAAAAATAAATTTCTAGAGATTGTTATTAAGTAAAAACTATAATTTATGAAGAATTTCAATGTATTCGAAGCAGTCTGAAACTTTGATATAGGACAATACTAGAGTTTAATGCTACTGTCAATAGATTATTTATAAAATTACAATAGATTAAAGAAATCTATATTTGCATAACTACCATTAGCAATTCATTCGTACTTTAATTTAATAATTGAAACGTTTAAAAGAAGAAATCCAACCACTTATAGCAAATAATTTTCAGATACTTAGACAGATTATGCGTTTACCGAATCGTTGATGTCAAAGGATTAGAAATTATTCGTCGAACTTAAATTACTCGATGATTTATTAGTATTGAATCGAGCCGGATGAACGGCCAAGTGTTTTCGTTTGTCCACCATAGCGAAGGGTAGGCATCGAAGAACTATTTTCGGTGCTTCGACAGAAATACGGGTAGAAAGGTGCACCCGAGTATCCATTTTATTTCGCGCAGCACTATTTTCAGAATGTTGGGTGCCAGGAAACGAAATAGAAATTTCAACGTCATCGAGTTATAGCCATCCTCATTGATGACTTCACGCCTGTTTACTCATGGGTGGAGTTCGCTAATCACAATAAATGCTAGCTCACGGTGATCTGTTTAACTATGACGAATACTGTTCGTACACTGTGCTTTCGTTTCCGTCGTTTCTCGAACGGCTGGAAGCCTCGAATAGGAAGAGCCAGACAAATTGTAGAGTGTTCTCATCTTTCTTCTACTCCTCTTTTCTGTTCTCTCTTGTTCCCTTTTTTAGTTTTTCGTATATTATAATTAGATTCCTGAAGCCTGTAAATCTTTTTCTGGCGTTCAATTATACCAACAAATACAAAGTGCACAACACAATATTTGTAATAATTATACCATCTTTTCGCTTTTTTAGATTCGATTCTATAGTTCTACCAACATAAATTGAAAAGCAATATTTCTTAGCTCAAATTCAGTATTAATATAAATATAAAATTGATAAAAAATTAAACATGAATAACAACCCTATTTGAAAATTTTACGTTTCCAAATATAACGTAACCTTAAATAAGTAGTTTGTATCATTTATATTTATGTTATAAATTAATATTAATTTTAATCAATTTTTAACATCAAATGTAATATAAAGAAACAGTAACGCTACAAACTGTGCATTCACGACGTCCATTAATCAAATTAACAATTCGAATAAGTATCCACGTCTGCTCTGAAACAAATTACAAGATAAGGGAATTTGAACGAACTGGTGTCTCCTAGAAAATAGGATAGAGCCGCACGAAGTGATAATAACACCGCCACCGGAGGAGCCACGGTTGAGCCAGGCGAGCGAGGGTAGCGAAGCAGCCAGCGAGGCACCCTCGGAGACGTCCTCGCCGTCGGGTAAAACGAGAAGGTACCGGGGGGACACCAGCAAAAGGAGAAAGGGCGTGTACATAACCCAATGGCCGGAGCCCTTGGACACCGACAGGAACAAGCTGTCAGCTCAGAGCAGCGAGGAAAGAGACGAGCCACCTGCGACGCCCAGCGACCTCTCCGACTGTGAGGGCCACACGCCTAGAAGGTAACACGAGAACCGCCGCTAATATATCGGAATAGAATACAAATAGACCCAAAGTGTCTGCCTACGGACACGATTTAAGGATAAGAAAACGCAAGACAGTCCATTTGTCTAAGAGTACAGTAGGCCTCCATTTATTCGAACTCATTGGGGAACTGATTGGTTACATCGCTGTACAAGCTGTTCATCTGTGATAACTAGACTGCGGACTTTTATGCGTTTATAAGATTTTTGATAGTACATATTGTACACAATAGATATGCTATGGAAAAATACATAAAATACTTGAATGTAGTGTTTTTTTTGGGGGGGTGGGGGAAATATTTGCGATAGAAAACAATTTTCTATTGTAATTCTGTTCTTCCGGTTATATTCTTAGAGATTCTAATTCCCTGTACTATTTTTGATTTTTCATTGAAATAACCGTGGTTTACTGTGAAAATGTCTTGTGACAACAGCAGTTAATTCTATGTTTCACGCTGATTAAATGAGTATTTAAGAAAATGCAAAGTAAAAATCGATAATACGGAGTTTTATGTAAACAAGCAGATTTTAACTTGTACAGTCGTTAATAACCTCGAGTAAGCAGTTGTTGTAAGTGCATAACTAGATTCTAGTTGCTCGCGTTGGTTCCTGTTTTCAGAGTTACTTCATAAACGTCAGAATGAATAGAATTACTTGATAAAAACTTTTATTGTTGCGCAAATAAAATCATAGTTTTATCGATTTCTGTCGGATAATTCGATTTTATGATGTTCCCGCGCATACATCGCATATTTTACTCATGCATAACAGTGGTTCTTTAAGTATAACTACGTTCAACATTAGAACCACGACACCTGTCAAAATAACTGGTTGGCCAGTTACCTCAGATATTCCATTTATTTCACTTACTTCGGCTGCTCCAACAAGTTACGTATCAAACATTCCGAACACTCGGTAGCTCTAACCTTAACGTCGCTTAGTTGATAAAACAATGCTTGAAACTTCAAGTGAAACACGCGAGTAATGGGCTTAATGGTTTAGTTTTGTCTTGATAAAGTTAACATAAAAAATTGACGGTACGGTGAAAGTATGTCACGATGCCGTGTTTATTTGTTCAGATACAGTAAGAGGCCTCTGCGCGGTCCCTATGGGCAAATGCTCGAGGCCGAAATGGCGAAGCCACGTGCCACCGACATCGCTCTCGAAGAAGGTCTTCGTCCGCGTAGAAAAGTTTCCGCAAATCTCTCGTACAACACCAGCTCGAATAACAGCGGCTCCGAGCCGCCCACGCCCTGCCATCATAGAACAACCTCCAGCCCGAGCAAACTCGAAGGTCTTCCGGGACCAAGTCCTGAACTCCTCGCGGAACTACTTCGAGGATCCTCGGAGAGGGTGGCTCGCGCGCCGGTGCATCGAAATGTGAGTACCGTTAAATTGAATATTATATTAGCCCGGTATAACCACATCGAGATTCAAAGTCAAAGTAAAATACCAAATATATGGTACAGGGAACTTTTGCAAGATTTTTTAATTATTTTTCATGAAACATCGAGTACTTAAAAGATTCTAGTAATACAATACTGTGTAACATTTTGTGCTATATATCGCCATGGTGATACTTTTTTTTACATTAATTAATGTATCGATGCTGTCGTAAATAGGATCAGACAGGTAATTACGTTGAGTAATGAAGTTACTGTGTTTATAGTGTTTATACCGCGTCTATGAGAGTTATTAACATTTTATACTGAAGAAGAGCTAACTGTTTTAGTTAGCAACTAAATTATATATTATGAAACTATAAACTAACAAATATATTGCATATAGATGTTGTGTAACGATATGTTATTCATTCATCCATGTCTACAAGGTTTTTGTTAGTTCGATCTACTTGTTTTTTGAAGCTCTTTTTTTGTTAATATATTGTTTGTACGGAAACTGCCTTCAATAAGCGCGGCAAATATAATGGCGATTTACATTGAACCATTGTATTCAACAAATCGTCCTCATTTTTAAACGCATTTCCCGTTAAATCATAATTATACATACACGAGAGAAGATTTAACGAGAAGCTAGTCGGTAGATCGATTAACGAACCGGCAACAACAAAAACAAAAGAGAGGAAGCCAATGATCTCGAGCGAGTCAAGAGCACCGCGATTGATCTTATCGTGCCGTCGTATCTCTCTGGCGGTCTCTTCGGCGACCTCCTCCGCTTGTAGCATCTGGCGTCGAATTTAAATCAAGGAATTAATAGGTTCTGTTGTTTATTAGGCGAAGAGAACGCGTAGAGAAGACTCTGTTGGGATTATGAATGTATCAAGATCACCGTGTAAAAAAATCATTATTTTTATGAAACAGAATAATTAACCCTTCTGTATGTAGTATCGATAGTTGATGCGAAAAGACGAAAAATAAATATTTCTTTTAATTCAAATAATAATAATTAATTAGGGCACATGGTTCTACATGCTAAAATATAGAATAAATATCAACGAAAATGCAATGATTTTTCTATTGGGGTTCGAAGTATTTAAAAAATAATTATTAGTCATCGTTAGATGAAAATTCTTACTGAAAATGTCACGAGATATCTAAACAACGTTACCATTCTTATATCTGAAAAGTTTTTATTTCGATTCTCTAAGGATTCCCAGTTATTTTTTAATGAGTGAAACATTATCATGCGACGTTATTTCATAAATATATTTGATTCCTTCATGGAATCAGAATTGATACAATTTCTTCACATTGGCATAAAACATTCTGCGTTTACATAAAGAGCAAACTTTATGTTAGATACATCTATCAGACACGGATTGCTACATCTGAAAGCTTAAAAGCGGTTACAAACAGAAAGCCACATATTCATTTCAATTGAATTCAGAGGAATGTGAATTTACATGAACATTCATAGTCTACTTACAACATTATACTAATGTTGACTACAAATGTTAATCGCACACTCATTCCCATCAAGTTATGGTTTCTCATTCTTCTCGGCCCGGGAATCTCAGAAATGAAGGAACAAACTATCCAAACAGTCGTCATTTGTGATACACGACTCCAGACTGGCGGCGAAAACGTAATCTAATAATAATGTTCGGCCATATTTCTGGGATGAGTTGGTGGTTTGGCCAGTGCACTCGAGATTAGCATAGTGTCCCCTTGATTCTGGCACAGCGGGGGCGGCTACGAGGATATTCCTGGCCTTAGGTGTACCTGGGGACCGATCGGTCTCTACCGATGCGCACGGAATCTGCCGACCAGCATTTTTATGCAACCCGACCTTGCTCGACACATCGACATGGTCCTTTCGTATCGTGTGTGTCTGACGAGCTACGAACTCAACGATGATTTTCGTGAACCGTTTGGTTGGGTTTAGGGCCTCGACGGTCTCGACGAGAAATGGTCAAAGCTGCTCCATTAATTGGATTCCTTGTGTCTAGGGGCGTATTAATTTGCAAAACTTCCATGAGGAATATGTATTCGGAGTATGCTTGAATATGTATTCGGAGTATAGCGTGAGACACGGTCGTAACTTCAGGAATGATTTTAGTGGAGTGGAAATTTATTTTCGAGTTACAGTTGCTTCTGGAATTAATTCGTTGATTGCTTGTTTCAATGGAAAGCAGTATGGGGTATGAAATTAATACGACTCGTTGGAATTAATTAATGAAAAGTTGTTATGCTGGTCACTCCGATTCGTGCTTGTATTCTTTCTTAACTAACTTTTTTGAATGACTCGTTTGTAAGGAAATAGAATCGATTTTTCTTATAGAGGAAATAATAATGAATCAATGGTTGTTATTTTATTATAGATTCGATAACTGATGAATAATAGTGAGAACTGACAATAAGTATTACTCCAATCCGCATGGATTGGAGGGATAAAATCATGATGCTAATATAAAATGGAAATTTGAATATTTATTTATAACAGATTCAGGTTGCGACTTTAATGAAGACTAGGAAACATATTGATCTATACAAATTTAGTTCAAGCGCACTGTTCATGTAAATGTATAGTTGCTAGCTTTATATTAAGTCGTAAACTGTATTATTTTGAAATTGTAATTAAAAAGGAATATTTAATTTTAGATTGGTTGAAAATTCAAATTTCGTTTTTACATGTAATGTGTTAATTTAAAAAACTGTTAAATAAAACAGCTTGAAGCTTGTGAAGAATTAAAAATATTATTCGCATTGAAATAATTTGTTTTCAAGAATTTAATTCTTTCAAGCGTCCTCCGGATAACGAATTCACAAACGATGCATTAAAATCTTTTACAACGGCGCAGTTCTATGTATATGTATAATAACTGAATCCAGTCTCGTTTCATTTGACTTTGTATCACAGTGCAGCTATCTTTAGCTTAAACGTATTTCGTCTGAACCTGCGACAAATGTAGTGAAAGTTTTGGTCTACGATGCTTTCTAAGGTTTCAGCACTTTAATCAGCACTTTCGCGACCCCACATTGACAAATAAAAAATACAAATTAATCAACATATTAATTAAAGTATTATTTTTTAACCAAACAGTGAATATTTACGGAAATTAATCATTTTAAACATTTGTTTATAAACAAGGGAAGCAGGCAGGAATATATTCTTTGCATTATACGTTTTATTATGCTTGCCACAACATATATATGGCGTCAATGTTTTGTTTCACTGAATGTTACAACTTAGTGCATAAACTTCCGCCATCTATTCGTAACTTACTGTTGTTTTATTAAGGTTTCTGTGTGTTTGAGAGAAACAACAGTGACCAGATTAGTTTTATATAATAATTCACATAAAGGAATTAAATGTAGGTACTCAGGTTTGCATTTATAAAATTAAATTAGATATAAAATAAAAATTTCCGTTTTTTTATCAATATTTCTGAAAACTCCTCAAAATTCTCATAACGATGATATAGAAAGAAAAAAATGGTTACTACAGTAACAAGCTGAAATATAAAGGCAAATTCGTTTCTGTTAGAGAAAGCATCATCACGCGTATTTATCGTGATTAGAGTCTGTGGTGCGAACAAAGGGCGAACGTGAACGGATATTAGTCATACAAGAGGAAAATGGATTTCCTCTGATTGAGAGAAAGCAGAGTCGTTTGTGATACGGAGCACAGAACGTTGAAGATTTTCTCACGGAAGCCGAACAGATGAAATGGTCTTCTTACCGAAAACATTATTGTAAACCGTGAAAAAGCATTCTGAATTCTTATTAGCAACAAATTTCAATGTTTTCCACAATCATGAATTTTTTCAACTGATACACTATAAAACTTTGATTAGTACAATAATCTTCTTAATCCAAATGACCAATAAATCGAACAATTATTTAATTAATAATCTTAGTAATCCTAGTAATGTTTAGTGTTCATTTTATGGTGGATTCTTAATTTGTAATGGTATACCTTCAAATCGTATTTTTACTTTTATCGGGATATGTTCAAATATAAAACAGCATTAAACAGTGTAATAGAATAGAATTAATGATATAATAGAACGTTTATTACTCACATGAAAAAAAAATAATATTCATATATCGATTAAAAAATAAATTATCAAACCATAAATTTTATTTCGAACGCAAAAACTCGATAAGATCTAAAATCTTAGTAAAGTTTAGTATTCGTTTCATGGTGCATTCTTAATTTGAAATTGTATACCCGCAAAACGTATTTTTACATTTATCAAAATATGTTTAAATATTTAGCAGTGTAATATAATGTTAATAGCGTAATAATATAATATAACTTTTATGATCAATACACCGATTCATATAGAAAAAAAGAGTAATATTCGTTTATCGAGTAAAAAATAAATTATCAAATCATAAATTTCACTTCAGATGCAAAGACCCGATAAGATCAACAGAATTTAAGGAGCAGGGTTGAATGTATCTTTATAGGTGTAGTTTGATGTAAAAACCTGAAGTATCCGTTTGCCGTCAAGGTTGTATCGCAATAATTCGACGAAAGAGGAGAACATGAATCGAACGTTCGATAAAATATTTGAGCGTAGTAATGCCGCGGCAAGTCGGAATTTTTCAGCAATACATCGCGGGAAAAAGGAGAGGGAGAGAAAGAGGGAGAGAGAGAAGGGAAGAGGTTGACATTCCGACGTAGAAATAACGTTCCCTCGGCGGTTCATGAAATATGACCAAATATAATAACACGCGGACGCATAGAATTTCTAGTCCAAAGTTCGCTAAGAAAACATATAAACTAACGGGAATAAAAATAGCAAGCCACTATTGAGACGAACAAGAGATATTTTCAGGTGTGTTTCTTTATCTATCTTCTGATGTCATCGGCTCCCTCGATATTGCGTGGATTTCTAGATCTTCATGAATGGATGGCGGTGCCGGCGATTTACGACATTCGGACGTCGGTGACGTAGACGCGAAATGTGA